ATGTTTTTGGTATTAAACTGAGTATTTGAGCTGGTGTGTAAAGTGGATTTTCATCATTTTCTTTACTTTTAATGGAGCAATTCTCCTCCAACAAAGATTCAGCATCAACTAAAGTTTTCAGATCTCTATCTTTATTTTTAAAACCAATTTTAGACTCATTTGAATCTTCATTAGATGTATCAGAATAAATTGGTAATCTGAGTGGTTGACGATCCTCTTCGGTAAAATGAAGGTATCTTTGCAGTGTTTGCAAATATAACATCCATTTCTTTCGGTCTTCCGTCTTACTATTCATAATATTTTGCATTTCAATATCTAATCGAGATAAATTACTATTAACCTTATTTTCTTGTTTTAATTTTTCAATCAATGCAGGTTCGATAAGTATCATTTTCTTTGCATTTTCCATGTTAACTGGCTAGTCCACTCACTAATCCACTCAATATTGCACCTAATATTATTGGTAAGAAAGCCCCTCCTTTTTGTATAATTATATTTTTTTCTTAGTTTATGTTTACACTTACGCACTAGTTGACGGAGTATATTTTTGTTTCTATTAAATTTTTGTTTATCTTGATCTTTAAGAGGTACTTTTTCCTTGTAAAACGTTATGAATACACTCACAAATACAGTTAATTTCTTCTTCATCACACGTTTTAAGTAATGCTCTTTGATATTTTGGTTTAAGCGTATGCAAAGCGTTTAGCAAATGTTTATGCGTTGTGAGTCGACGATGCATCATTTAGCAATGATTTGAATTGTTTGATTCTTCGTGTATTTAAACTCTTGTGGGGACGTAGACTGTACAGAAATCATTAAATGGGAAGACATTTGTCTTGATACGACAAAAATCATTGGTATTCTGTTTTAAATCTACCATTAAATATCCATGCGCCTAGAGTTGCATCCCTGTCTGAAGATGCCTTCAATGAATTTTGTGTTATCTGGTGATACTTGTCGTGCTAAATATCTTATTTAAGTTTTATCTCGGGGGTTTTTAAAATATATTATATAACTTGAGTTTAAATATATATCTCTTTGCCCTTTACCCTGATGAAATAAATATAGTGTTAAATAAAATACACTGAGATTTCTGTGATGACTGCCTTTTGTAAATATATCTACAATTCTTCCATCGGACTCTCTCATTAGATCATCAATAATAACAAGATGTGGCTTTTCACCATCAAACATATTAATATTTCGAATTCCTTGATGATAGTTAACATTTGGTAAATTATATAAAGGTTGCATTTCATCAAAGCACCATGTGATCTGTTTAAAATCACAATTACATATTTCTGTAACTGATTTTATGAAATTTGTTACAATATTTGACTTCCCACATCCACTTGGTCCTGCCACAATAGCAGTAAACGGATGTATAAAGTGAAACATTACACACGTCTAAAGTTCTAAGGGGTGAAATAAAAAATGAAAGTGTTGGTGTAGGTAAATAATTAATATATATTGTGTACTATAACTAATGTTTTTGGGAAATCAAACAAAATTTATGATTAATTTAAAATTTTATTTTCAAGCAATAACCACTTGTAAAAAACCCACACTTCATCACAAGAACAATGTAAAATTTTGTGATTATTTTTTGCAAATATATGATTATTACACAATAACGTTTGTTTAAATTTAAGACATTTACCAAATCATTGTATTTTGGACATTTGTATTCTTCAATATTAAAAATTCTATCATTCGTCGTCAACATTTTTAAAAATTGTTTTTCTGCTGAACCACCTTTGTATGCGATCACTTCGTCTTTGCACAAATTTCTAATATACCAATTTAATATGGGAATGATGTTCTCTAGTTTGTAGGCACATTTTAATTCTTCGGTCACGTCAAAATATGGAATGCCGTGCACGTGTGTGTCGCAATAACGAACAGTTTTTTTGTCTTTTGGCAACAAATAATTGAAAGGATAACTTGGCCGAAACAAATAATGATCGATAAACGCATAATTTTTATTAGATAGTTTTACGTCTAGAATAGCCATTTCTCTACATTGAAAATATTTATGAGGATATGTAATGTAAAATACGTCCATGTCGATGATGTATCTAATATTTTTTAGATTTTGTGTCATTTTGAACCAAAAAGTTAAAAGTATTTACACGTGACTAAAAATATGTTTGTTCCAACAAACTTCACATAACAATGCTTCATTAATTCCCATCATCCCATCTCTTCCTTCTGCTCTTGTCTTCCTGTAATTTAAGTAAACAGAATCACACTCACTAATGATCAACTGCCTCAATGCGTGTTGGCAAACTTCACATGCCTTCGAAATTTTCTCAGACATGCAGGTTTCCTCAGGATGTTTTCCTTCACCGCTGAGCACGTGGTAAATCAGCACTTAAAATTGCAATTAACAATTTAATTGGTGCCGGCGGGGATCGAACCCGGGTCGCGTACTGTGAAATTTACAGCTTGCGCTAACCATATGAGCTACCACGGCTTAATCATATACACACATAATATTTAAATATAATTTGTTAACACTAAATCATACACACGTAAGAAAATAACAGAAAGAAAAGTAAGTTTGTCAATAGAATAAACACTTACATCGATGGCCTTTGATTTGTTGAAGTAACACAAATGTAGTATTGATAGATCCACTTTGGTCAAACGACCATACTCTAACTCCATGACTGCAGCTGCTCGGTCTTATATAGTACCAGTAAGTAATAATTCTAATCTAAAGAATTTCTGCAGTGGAACAGATAGTACGAGTAACTTTATGCATCAACAAGCTTATCTCAACATTCCTTCGTGTTACGTCTTGCTCAGTGTATTGATGACTCAAATACGATTTGTATAACACAAAAGAATGCAATTTAATATTTAGAAATCACTATAATTGATCATTCCTATGTTAGTCATTGAGTAGATTGGTACTGTAATAATCTACTAATAGCAGTAATATCATGGATACACTAGATGTACAACAACATCTGAAAAAGATTCATCCCAGTCTAGAAAATAATGTTTATGCTGCTAAAAGACTGCCCATGTATACCCACGTACCAACGTATATAATATGCAATTTGGATACAGATGATAAACCAGGGTCAAATTGGGTAGCTTTATATATCGATACGAATGACGTCGGTCAATATTTTGATTCATATGAACGATCACCTGTACGATATCATCTAGAGTTTTTAAAAAGGAATTGTGAAAGATGGAACTGGAATGTTGATAGGATTCAGAATGAGTGGAGTTCATTCCGTTCAGTTTGTGGCGAATATTGCTTAATGTATTTGCCATATAAGTTTCAGGGATGTTCAATGCATAGTTTTACGAGTATATTTACAGGGAATACGTTGTACAATCATATTTTAGTGGATGAGATGTTTCGCTCCTATCTTATAGTCAATAAGTAAAAAGATTTTGTATTTTGTAAATAAAAATTGTAATAAAATTAGGTAATGTGTTTTATTGATGATTCCGATTAGCGTTGTAGACAGGAACAAAGAAGTATAATACAATAACACTGATAAGCCGACGCATACGCCGAGGAAAAATAGACAATGACGGTATTCAAGGAACAATAGATAAATAACAATGGGGCGCTAATGACGGTGGAGGCCCTCATCGGATATCAATTAGATAAGAGTTAATTGATCTGAGTTGTGCTCCGGAACCGTGCATCTTACGCAAAAACGGACCGCAGATTCGTGATCAGAGCATGCCAAAACCTTTATTTTTTAGGATTTTGAGTCGACGAACGTTGTACCACTTCTGACTCAGTGAGCCAGAAGTGGTACTACCTATCTACTGGAAGACGGTGTTGATCTGCTGCCCATATCATCCTTCCAGTTCCCATTTGTCAAATCGTACGACACCCATCGAATTATATAGGGTGGTACATATTCTGACGGCTTTTAGCATTAGAGATTGTAGAAAATCAACTTGGCTAGTCCCACAGGGCTCGCTTTTGCCTAAGGATCCGACTGAGTTGGTGGATAGTACACACAGAAATGTTGACTGCATTGTATTAAATAATCACGAATAAATCGGCACGGGGAAGGACTATGCTCTTACAGAATACCAGCGTAAAATAGCAGCTTAATACTGCTGTGCTCCTTATGGTGTAGAGTACAGAGCCGACGACTCTATTTTCCGGAAACAAAGGGTAACAACGCATCTGAACTTTGATTCTTAATCGAGGATAGATATAAATAGCTATGGGCGACAATCACCTCTTACCCCCTTAGGCGGACAGAGTTCGTTTGTCATCCCTATTCTATGTATAAAAGAAACTAAAATGTACTACAATAAGTAAGGGTAATATGGTCACCCGGTTAATATGGTCACTTTCTTACAACTCAAAAACTATAACCTTGTTTGTTTCGATGGCTCTGTGATACGGCAGCTCTTCATCAGTTAATCAAATATTGAAGGGTCATTGGGTGCGTTTGGCAGAAAAACGCTCTAGCACTTTTTGTCTGCCAAACGCACCCAATAGAACGCTGCTTCATCGACGCCATTTTGACATTTGACATTATAGTAAATATTTTAGTCGTTTTTAGTATTGTGTAGTGCCCTTAGTTTTTTAGGTTGATTTTTCGAAGTCTTCCTAATTATTGACAGAGTTTGTTTGCTATTTTTTTTTCATAAAATATTAGTTATAGACGACACGACGACTGTGTGTTAAGTGTGTTTTTGTCTCTGTCTTCCTCCTATTTTGGGTTTATAGGGCGGCAAAGCTAAGGTGACCATATTATGCTAACGTACGTTATTTATTATTTCTTTACATATAATTTCCCTTATTAGTTTCGCAATGACATGACAAACAATCCACTATCTCACGTATAGAGCTATCTTTAATCGCGTGTTATCGCACAGGTGATAGGTGCTATCATGAAATAGAGCGTCATCACGCTTCGTGTTAGTAAAGTACTCTGCGTTTTAGTATCGTCCCGCGTTCCGTAATTGACGGACGTGCGCGCGCGCATTTTATTAAGTGACAAACAATGGAGAAAATTTGGATTTTTTTCACTTTGATATCAATATCAATAGGTGTTCAAGGTAAATATATTAACTGCTATGATAGTGAAATTTGTGGCGCTTTGGGAATTGTGTTCTTTTGTTTGCGTTATCTGTAGTTATATCTGATATTGTGTTTGCGGATCGAACCGGCAAGATGTCACGCCGTATTTACTTCAATTTATATTGTATTTTATTTTATTGCGTTATTGTATATATGAGAGAATAATATTAAGTTTTATTTGCTTTATTTAGTCCTTTGTAATGATAGCGATAATTCCTTTAAGATCTGTGCCTTTTCTAGATCGTTTGGGGACACATTCTAGATTCATCCTGGCCTATTTATAATACATGAAAGGATTTCTGCGGATAATATCGCATACATTGTATTAGGTTTTTAAATAGATCAGTGTTTAGTTATGTAATCGCCGGATGGTATAGCGATTAGCGCACTTAATTGTCGATTGGAGGGTTGTAAAGTCGAGGCCCAGACAAAGCCAGTAGATAATTATTAATTATAGGTGTAATTATAAATATTTCTTTCTCCGATCTTACTATATATCCGTTATAAGCCGAGGCAATACTTTTTTATAGCATTGGGTGACAAACGAGCACACAGTTCATGATGGTAAGTGGATGTTGTTGCCCATAGATATCTTTTATCCTCAATTAAGAATCAAAATGTAAATGCGTTGTCATTCTTGAGGACTTAGATGGAATGCCTTGATTTCAGTAAATAGGGTCTCCGATTCTCTACACTCACCATACGAAACACAGCAGTATTGAGCTGCTATTTTAAGTTGGTAATCTGTGAGAGCGTAGTCCTTCCCCGGTTGAGCCGACCCATTCCTGCTACAACTACAATATACTACCACGTGTCTATGTTTGTTTTGTTTTTATGATAGGTATTCACCTAAATCATAGCACTATGATAACTTCTATGCAGTTGACAAAATCTATTATTTAAAAAAATGCAATGACCAACGAACTTACAGACCACCTAATGGTAAGTGGTTGCTGTCCACGGACACCTGCAGCCAACTTCAAGCAAAGAAGAAGTTTTGTCACCCCTAAGGATGGAATGCCTCACAGCCCGTGATTATGACTGGCTCTATATACTCCTAAGTCTGAACAACAGGAGTGCTGGCACTGCTAGACCTGGTACATAGACGTATGCATAGGCAGAAAAGAGGGAAATGGAAAGGAAGACATCAACTAATACTATATACTAATCAAAACATTTGTATAACCGACTTCAATATAAATCAAATGAGAACATCATCACGAAGTCAATTAAATAAAAAAGGATAACTAAAAAAAAATACTGGTCAGATCTTGACTAAATTTATATGGTACCACATGAGAAGCATCAGCTTTCAAATTAAAAAAGAATCATCGAAATCGGTTGGCCAGGAAAACTTTATGAGGTAACACACATAAAACAAGCGGTCTAAGTGCGACCCGAAAGGTCCACACGACTAATTTCCCAGTAGAAAAAACTAAAAATTTCATGTTTAATATTTTATACAATTTTTCATTCGGAACAAAAAACGACTTGACTGATTTTGCTCAATATTTAATAGGTCCAAGTTACATAATTATGCGTTAATTGAAACTGGTCCCATGTCAATATCACTCTTTGTTCTCGAGATACACGAGGAGAAAATTTAGTCCGAACATACACAACATACGTACATGTGCACACACGGACATCCTCTTAAAAACCATAATATTAGACTCTAAAGACCTTGAAACGTAGAGATATGTTAAAATTTCCAATTTACAAAATCGGACCCATTACAATAACTTACCACTAGGAAGTTAAAAACAGTCGAATTAAGTACCTCCTCCTTTTTGAAGTTGGTTAAAAATAAATCGATTTTTCAAGAAAATATCTAGTTATTCGATTAAAATGTGCCCTACCTCCTCGCATTGCTTTCTATTATAAAGATTCATCATAATCGGTTCAACCATTCTGATGATTAGCAAGGACTTAGAGAGGCCGGTCGGTACCTTTACTTTGCCTCGTTGGTCTAGTGGTTGTAGTAGACTGCTGATCATGAGGTCCTGGGTTCGAATCCCGGGTCAGGCCAAAAATCAATAATTGAGTTTTTCCGTTGAGAAATTCTCAGTAGCTGCTGGGAGTCAGGAAGTTAGCGGTGTCTCACCCCCGTGCCTCGGAAAGCACGTTAAACCGTTGGTCCTGCGCCTGATCTCTCTCCGGTCGTGTCGGTTTACCATCCCATTGGATTATGAGAGTGAGGGAATAGAGAGTGCACCTGTGCTTGCGCATACACTTGGGTTGGGCACTAATCTTGTCCTGTGCCGATGGCTAGCCTCCGTTGAGGCAGGCCACCATGTGACCCCGGCAGCCGAAGGTAATCATGAGCATTTCCACACGATACTAAAGAAGTGTATTATTTATACAATAAGCAATGTGCACTTGCTTTTATAAAAGGCTACTCTAATCACGGTAAACCTGCTACATTCGCCATTGGGGGTTACTGTTATCATTAAACCTTGTCTAAAGTTCACTGCCGAACACAGGCCTCGAGACTGCAGAACGTAAACAGGCGGGATGGTAACTGCAATTTGTTTTTTCTTAGTTGTAATTTGGAAGACACTACAGCCCATCCTCTGATGTGTTTCCCTAGGGAACAGAGCTCTGTCGCCTGTTATAACACCCACGGGAAGATATAGGAAAGTGGATATTCTTACACCGCCACCAGGCGGCCAAAGATATGATTTCTACATCGATAGTAAACTGGTCAAATATTTGCTTCTGTTATTATAGAGGTTTAGTACGTAAACAGATGTATTTTTATATGTTATTATCAAAAACCCGTATCTTTGTTTTATATTTACTCGTCGTTGTCACTGAAAATATCCAAAAATCTTCATCAAGCACGTGCGAGTCAATGGCTTTCCACGTGGCCGTCGGTGAATGAAACATCGGGAGGGAGACTTGTAACTTTATAAAGCAGCACGGCGCTCTCTTTTATATCCTTTTACAAGGTAGAGCCACGCTGCAGTATGGTTGTAGCACGAATGGGTCGGCACGACCGGGGAAGGACCACGCTCTCACAGAATACCAGCGTAAAATATCAGCTTAATGCTGCTGTGTTTCGTATGGTAAGTGTCACCTTAGTCCTCAGTGACAACGCATCTGCATTTTGATTCTTAATCGAGGATAAATGTAGATGTCTATGGGCCACAGCATCCACTTACCATCAGGTGGACTGTGTGCTCGTATGTATTTAGTCAACCCTTATTCTATTTAAAAAAATCTTAAAACCCCCTTGAATATCGCATGTGTTCAGTAATAAGCCTTACGAAATGGGACTTACTACTTGCTATAAACAGTACAAAAAGTACACTTGTACAAAAAAAGTTGTCAATAAGGATAGTTTTTACGGATTTTATCGTGTATATTTTTTTATATATTACCGACGTTTTGAGCACTTTACATCACCCATGGTCACGGGGGGGACTGAGGTGTTCGACGTCCCAATGTCATATTTTACCACGGCTACCTGTAGATTGAAATTATTGGGTGCGTTTGGCAGAAAAAAGCGCTAGTAAGCAAAATGGCGATCGTAAGCGGTAAGCGCTGTCAAATCGTAAGTAGCTATTTTCCTCCAGGACACGATGTTAGTTTTAACCGGGGAACCTAACCTAATTTAAATATATGTTTGTAAAGTATTCATATTAAAAACTTACCAATCATGAATTTTTAATAACATGTATATTTATTCAAGTTATTATATTACTTAAAACTAATATTGCACAAAATAACTTATAAACTCTACTTCAAAATAAACAAATTAAATAAGCAAAATGGCGGATTGTGTCAGCGCTACTGAAGTAGTAATCGTGTCCTGGCCGAAAACTATTTTAGCGCTTGTAAGCGCTTTGCTAGCGCTTTTTTCTGCCAAACGCACCCATTAATTTTGATCCGACCCACGCAGTATGAACTTATAGCATATTTAAGAATCCCTATGGCATTGGGACGTCGAACCACATGCCTAGGTAAATGGAATCCGTTTATCAACTCATGTGGTCGAGCACCTCAATCCCCCAGTGATCATGGTTGCTGTAAAGTGCTCGAAACGTCGGGAACATAAAATAAGTTAATATACGCAATAAAATCCGTAAAAACTAGTTTTATTTAAATCTCTAATGTTCGTGAAAATATAAGAAATTATTGGCGATGACAATTATTTCTTTTCTATTTTTGTTTTTTTTTTAATCTCTCTTTTTTAATTTTTTGTTTGATCTGGGAGGTGATTTTATTATTTGATTGTGCAATGCACTAGTGTCAAATATTTTAGGTCGTCGAACCCGGTATTGTGAATTGTTTAATAGCATCCGGATTGTGCTTTGTCACTAACCACTTCCTGTTTATTCAACGAGATCTATTGCGTTAAATAATGCACATTGCGCTGAGCATGAATCGTAGTTTTCATTACTTTTAACGTGGTAGAGCCCTGCTGCATCTATATTACAGTAGCATCGTAGTATCGACCGGGGTGGGACCACGCTCTCATAGAATACCAGCGTCAAATAGCAGCTTGCTGCTTTTTTTTTAGAATAAGGGTGACAAACGAGCACACAGTCCACCTGATGGTAAGGACACAGTCCACTCGATTAAGAATCAAAATGCAGACGCGTTGTCCTGAGGGCTAAGATGGAATGTCTCGTTTTCAGTAAAAAGGGGTCTCCGGATCTCTACACTTACCATACGAAACACAGCAGCATTGAGCTGTTATTTTACGCTGGTATCTGTGAGAGTGTGGTCCTAACCTGATCGACGCAACCCATTCGTACCGCAACCACAATATAGCTGCAGCATGGCTCTACTACGTAAAAAATTATAAATAAAATAAAAATAAAATAAAAATAAAAATTGAAAATTCTATTACCCGTTTATTTTCTAAACGTAAATAGGAGTTATTTTAAATACATACATAGCACACAGACAAACAACTAGACACGGAACAATTTTTTTTAATAAAAGTAAAATAACCACCTAAAGGGCATTT